CCAGGCTGGAGTGCAGTGGCATGCTCACAACCACCGCAACCTTGACCTGCTAGGCTTAGGCGATTCTTCCGCATCAGTCTTCCAAGTAGCTGGAACCACAGGCATGTGCCACCACGTCCAGTTAATTTTTTAATTTATTGTAGAGATGCAGTCTCACCAAGTTGCCCAGGCTCATCTTGAACGCCTAGCTTCCAGCAATCTTCTTGCCTCTACCTCCCAAAGTACTGGGATTATAGGCATGAGCCACTATGCCTGGTTTACCTCTGTTTTACTTATGGAAGAATAATTACCCACTTCTGAATAGTAAGATAGTTATTATAAAGAATCATGACTTAAAAAAAAAAACAGCTGGGTGTGGTGACTCAAGCCTGTAATCCTAGCATTTTGGGAGGTGAGAGGATTGCCTGAGCCCAGGGGTTTGGCAACTAGGCAAAACCATGTCGCTACAATTTAGAAAAAAGAAAAAATTAGCCAGGCATGGTGGTGCACACCTGTGGTTCCAACTACTTGGAAGGCCAAGGCAGAAGGATCGTCTAAGCCCAGCAGGTTGAGGCTGCGATAGCCACGTTTGTGCCACTGCACTCCAGCCTAGGTGACAGAATGAGACTCTGATTTAGGAAAAATAGTAATAATAATGTTTTCCAAAGTTTAAGTAATCAAAGTTCTTTTTATCTTACTTATATAAATATACCAAAAAGATACTTTTCCCTTTTAGAAAAGAAATTATGTTGCCATACTGCTTATTTTCCCATATTGATCATGTATTTGGTTTAAATTGTAAAATAGGATTAACCAAACCTGGTGTCCAGGGCATGACAGAGAGAAGTGAGTTAACTGTCTCTTGGCATTTCAGTAAATTTGAGTTCCTTACTAAGTCGCTAAGGTTTTAGAAATTTAAGAATCTGGGGAAAAATGTCCGAAAGCTTCTGTGAAGAAGGCAAAACCATTTGGGGAATTGTTTGCCAAGCAGCAACTGCAAGTTGCCTAAGAAAAATAGGAAATTCAAAAAACAGTTTAACAATTCCTGAGAGACACAATATCTGAAATTATAAAGTGGTAGGATATATCATTCAGGAAGTTATGTGGTTAGCAACCAGGAATCTTGGAGGTCCTGAGAAGCTGAAATCAAACAGGGAAGACTTTATGAAGGAGTTCAGATTTTAGGTAAGCCAGATTTTCAGAAGGGGAAAAGAAGTAAATAAAATAGAGAAGATTCATGACTTAAAAGCAAAACTATAAGTGAGCAGAAATGCATGAGTCTTGGGATAACTGATAATTGTAACTTATATAACAGGCTCTGACAAAGAAGAGTAATTTATAAAGGCAGTGAAATTATACATTTGACTTTTGTTCTTTCCTTTTTTTTTTTTTTTGAGTCAGAGTCTCACTCTGTCACCCAGGCTGGAGTGCAGTGGCATGCTGCTCATGGCCACCGCAGTCTCAACCTGGTGGGCTCAGCCGATCCTTCCACCTCAGCCTTCCAAGTAGCTGGAACTTCAGGCGAATGCCACCATGCCCAGCTAATTTTCTGATTTATTGTAGAGACAAGGTCTTGCCATGTTGCCCAGGCTGATCTCAATCCCACGGGCTCTGGCAATCCTCTCGCCTCAGCCTCCCAAAGTGCTGGGATTACAGACGTGAGCCACAGCACCTGGCAGATTTGACATTTTCTAGCTAAAAGACACCTTGTAAAACTATGTAACCTGTGCCATCACACAAATAATGAAACTAGTTCAGAGAGAGTAGGTAACTTGCATTAAGGGCACTAACACTTCAATTAGGAGTGGGAGAGTATTTTTTCTGTCAGTCTTTGTTCCAGAAAGGATTTCAGGAACCTTTATGTTCAATATGCACTCATTGAAAGAACAAGTAGCAGAATGAGAAAGCATGATTTCATTAAGAAAACTATGGACCGGGCACAGTAGCTCAAGCATGTAATCCCAGCACTTTGGGAGGATGAGGTGAGGGGATTGCCCAAGCCCACGGGTTAGAGAACAGCCTGGGCCACTTGGTGAGACCTCTTCTCTACAATAAATCAAAAAATTAGCCAGGCATGGTAGCAAGCACCTGTAGTTCCGGTTATTTGGAAGGCTGAGACGGAAGGATCACCTGAGCCCAGCAGATGGCTGCTGGGGGTGGCTGTGAGCGTGCCACTGCACTCCAGCCTGGGTGACAGAGTGAGACTCCAATTCAAAAAAAAAAAAAAAAAGAAAACTTCGTATACATGAACAAACACTAGATTATCAATGCCCACATATAAGTAATTAGTAGTAGTAGTCCAAATTTTTATATTTTAGATTTTTCTACAATAAACATTCTATTTATAATAAAGCAAAAAAGATTTTTACAAGTAACTTGAGACAACTGTTCTGATACTGAGACCAGAAGGAAATTTCACCCATTTGTCCTCTAAGTAATATGATAAGCAATGCCTTAACAACATCCCTAGGATAAATAAAGCACCAAGCTCTAGAACCCATTCCTAGCTGGGTGTGGTGGTATGCATCTTTATGTTAATCAAACTACTCCAGAGGCTGAGGCAGGAGGATTGCTGGAGCCCAGGAATTCAAGGCTGCGGTGAACTATGATCACACCATTGCACTCCAGGCTGGGCAACAGAGTGAGGTTATCTCTTAAAAAAAAAAAAAAAAAATATATATATATATATATATATATATAAAGATAAAAATAAATCCCATTTCTTAGACTAGGCTATGACAAAACACTGCCTCTAAAATTCAATCTAGATGAATATCTAGTTCTCTGCTGATCTGGCTTAATCTAGGGATTGATTTTAGACTAGTTTGAAGAAAAGATGAATTTTATATATACATGGGATATCCACCCCAAATGTGTCTAAACCAATGTTGGTGTGAGTTTTATTTTTGACTCCTGTTGCTGTCTCTTCACTCAGTTTCCATTTCATTTTCTCTTGTAAGCTGTCATAAGTGCTTGTAATGAGGTGATGCTGAGGTCTATGTTAATTAAGCGCAGCTGTTCCTTGGTGTTAGGTAAGCAGGAAGCTCTAAGGGTTAACAGTCTTTACAGCTGGAGAGAGAAGTAACATCCTCTAATTAAAACAAGAGAGGCTGACAAGGATTTATGGCTAAACAGAGGGCCAAAGGAATGCCTTCAGAAGTTTCATACCTGCTCCAGTGCAGACAAAAAAGTGGTCAAAGCCCAGAATTCTACCCTATAAAGACAAAATGAGTTAACTCACAGTTTAGTATTCTTATCTCTAAGCAAAATAAATATTAGAGGAATGCTAACAAAAATTATTTGGGTTTCAGAAAAGTTTAACACATTTTGGTAGATATTAAGTTGCAGGGTTGATAAATTATTTATTAGAGCCGCTCCTAGTTCATGACAATAAAACCATATCATCTGCACATAAGCCTGCTCACTTTTTTTTGCTGGGGGTGGGAGATAGAGCAGGTATCTACCTCTTCCCAAGGTGGTAGTAAATCATTAAGTTACAGTATTAAGAAGGGGGGGTAGAGACATAATACTTTGCTGTTTTATATGCGCATACAAAAACAGATCTCATCAATAAAAAAGGGGTTTTTTACTGGCCCTAAATCTTCTGTTATAACTGGTGATCTGTATTTAATTCATATAGTTGATTCCTATCCCAAATCAAAAGCTAAGGAAGAAATCAGCAAAACCCACAAACCATTGTGAATTACTCCCAGCAGAGACTGGGAATCCCTAAGTACTATTTAGGCTGCAAATTTTTGCACCAAAGATCCCTTTATGTTAATCAAACTAGTAACAACTTTTAAAAGGTCAAGAAAATAGTGAGGAATCTCCCTTTTTAAGTGAGACATTGTAGGGGCCCTACAGTTAACCTAATTAACTAAGACAGAGGAAGAGATGACTCAACGGATATGTACAGAAAAAGAGGATGACAAGAAAGCAAATAGATGAGAGACTTGAGTAGGAAATGGTCTCAGAAGCCAAAGGTATAGGCTGAATGTAGCATCTCTGAACTGAATGCTGCCTTAAGATTAAGGAAGGTCGATAACTAAGAAGAGACTTAGACTTGACTATGGCATTAACATCAGCTATTTTAAGCGCCTGCTTTGAGGTAACTTTCAGTAAAACAGTAATGATTAGAGCCGAAATACAGGGAATTTTATTAAAGGGCAGATACCTTTCCTCCCATTCTCTTGTTCTTTCAGATTCTGGCACATCGGTAAATAAAAACTAGTATCTTGTAGTTAATTGGGTTGGGCAAGCAGAACAGGCAGCTTGACAGTTGCTTAGCTGGCACATATTTACATAAGACGGTCAAAATTCCAGCCAGGCTTTCTCAAAACTAGGGCAGAATTTTTTCAACTTATACTTATCCCTTCTTCCAGGTCATGTTAAAATAACGCCTTGGGTCAGGATGACAGATGCCTGTTTTGTCTGGAGACTTTGATGTTCATTCACTCATTAATATCAATTTGACAATTTTCTTGCTAAAGTAAAATGATTTTTACTTTTCTTCCTTCTCTGCCACAATCTGCCATCAGAATACGACCACAGAAAGACAAAATATTTTGTTTAAAAACAACCTAGACTGGGCACAGTAGCTCACACCTGTAATCCCAGCACTTTGGGACGCCAAGACAAGAGAATTGCTTGAGCCCAGGAGTTTGACACCAGCCTAGGCAACATAGCAAGGCTCCCATCTCTACAAAACAAAAAATTAGCCAGCCATGGAGGCAGGTGCCTATAGTCTCAGCTACTCAGGAGGCTGAGGTGGAAGAATCATCTAAGGCCAGGAGGTCAAGCATGCGTGAGCTGTGATTGTGCCACTGCACTGCAGCCTGGGCAACCGTGAGGTCCTGACTCTAAATATAAAAAAATAAATAAAACTACCTAGACCAATGTGCATATGGTTAAATTGACATTTCCTTACTAAAATACACTTAGTCCATTTATGCACTGCTATTTCTCATGCAAAGGTAGCTTCAAAGTGATCTTCCTAAGATATAAAAAAGGACTTAAATCAGTATCATTCACCACTTACTTTATTCAGACACTTGAGTGTACCTCTCTCACCAGAGCTAGAGATGGTAGTCTCTGTACATTTCACAGTAAAGAAAAACATCATTCACCAAATCCATGACCAAGGGAACTTTGAGGATTTCTTTAATTTGTAGCAGAGACTGCAGCCCAAACAGCAATGCCACATCCACAGTATGCCAGCTTCCTACCCTACCCGTATTCCTCTCTTCTTTAAAGCTCCAAAGGTTATCAATAAGATTAAATCTCACCTAGGAGAAAAATAATGACCCACATATTAATGTATAACTAAAACGAAAAATAAATAATGGGATTCTTAAAAAGGATACCTTACTTTACCTGGGTTATAATTAGACCAACCTGTGGATGAAATGAGAGCTTATGAGGCACCATGAGTTTCACCTGTGCCAGTCTCTTATAGCGATCAGCAGATTCTCTCCTCCCTTGAAATCTCCAATCTACATATGCAGTAGTTTTTTTTAAAGGCCTCAGCACTGACAACTCTCAGGTGAAAAGTATAGGCAACGACCAACAAACCAAGATGCCATTATGCACTTCACTTTCGATAAACTGAAACAAAGATTAGTTGGCCCAACCTAATGAATGAGAGCATAAAACTAGAAGCTTGGTTAACACTAGTTTTGACACCATATATCGATTCCTCAACTCTAAGTTCCTTTGGAGAGAAGTCATGAGAGGCTGGAGTCCTCAAACCCCAACTAAGAATGAATCCTCTTTCTCCCCAATGTAAAACAGCAAATGCACCTATAAGGTGGAGTTAGCAAGGAAAGAAAAAGTTGGAAAGATTTCTAGATAAAATAGGAAATCACAGAAGGCAAACTAAAATCAATTGAAACAGGCCTCACAAAAGAGACAACAGCTGAAGGTCTTATAAAAAAAAAAACAGAACATCCTTGAATGGGCAAAGTAAGGGAAGAGCATAGCAGCCCTTGAACTTCAAAGGAAAGTCCACCAAGACGTGTTAAGATTCCCAGCTAAGAATGAGTTCAGTCTCCATCCATGATCAGATTCTGCAATGTGTGTATCCCAAAAGGAGTTCCACATGAAGATCCTTTTCTCTGCAACTCTTAGATGAGCACCAACACACACTCCACCAATCTGCCAAACACAGCTAGAACTCCTTGTCTGACCCGCACTCTCCCTGGCTCTCCACAGAGTGTTTGGTCTTTAACGCCAGGCTCGATTCAGGAGTTTCACCTGTGCCAGTCTCTTAGTGATCATGGTGGCAAAAACCAGGCCAAAGAGGACACTGCTGATTAACACATAGTCATAGTCATCCTTCAGGACATCAAACTGTTTGGATGGGTAGACTCGAGTTTGGTAAATGTCCAAACCATAGGCCACAACCTGGAAGGCAGACAAAACAAGAATTATGGAAGAAGCCAACCAATGGTTCACCCCACCTCAAATTCAGGTAAGGGGGGAAACGGGATTCTCAGCTGTTTCCCCAAGGGTAAAATAAAGAGCAGCTGTCACACAGAGTGACCATGAAGGTAGTGCACACTGGGCTGGGGCCTCTACTCACCAAACAAGTGGACTCCAGGCCTGAGGGAGCTGTGTAGATACCTCGCATTCGAGAAACTGTCTGGTTATAGTTGATGAATCGCTCTGCGTGTATCTGTACATCTGGAGAATACGGGATCAGGTTCTCCTCTCTGCAAAACACCAGCCGGGACAGGCACTCTGAGAACTGCTTGTAAAGGGATCTCTTGGCTGCCGTTCCTGAGTCATGGGAGGTTTCCAAGCTACATATCTAACCTTGAAATCTCTTTGGAGGTAGCATTAGGTAGTTAAAAATTTAGCAGCTGAATGTTAGGAAGGACTGCAAGAAAAGGAAGCTCTCTGGAAAGTAAGACTGAGGTCTGGATCCCTACCTTGTTCTAAAGGTTAAAAAAAATATAGACGACTGGCATTTCACAGCACACAGGGGAAGTCAGGGCCACACTGAACCAACAGGCAAACTCCCGCTCTTCACTTTAGAGTGCCTCTCAGTCCCTGTTTCTCCTCTGCATCCTGATGATCACCCATGTCTCTTCCCAGCTTTAACCTCCTCTCTCTCATGTAGTTCTCCAAACCACACCCCTTTCCTTTCTTCATGCTCCCAAGAGAACTCAGGATGAAGGTGAGAGAATATGCAGAGATAGTGGTTGAAAATACAGAAATGAATACTGTGAACAAGTTGCTGGCTTGCCCACATGATCTAGCCCCCACTGCCTCCATGGCCTCATTTTCTAGCATCTCCCATCACACTGCTCCACCCACAGGCCTCTCTGCACCCCAAAAAAATTCACCAGACATGCTTTCAGGGCATATGCACACATTCTACACAGCCCTCCATAGCCTGTCCCTGCTTTATTTTTTCTCATTAGCATTTATGAGTCTCTATTTTACTATTTACCACACTCTGTTTTACTTGTTTATCTAATTTATTACCCATATCCCACCAAAACATAAGCTCCATGAGGGCAGACTTGTCAGACTTGTTCCCTCTATATCCCCTGCCCTTAGCACAGCATGACAGAATATAGCACACTGAGGACCAAGCTTAGCCAGAGGTTAAGTTCAGTGAGGTCAGAGCCTTCAGCATTGCCCACACAGGTCTCACCTGCTTTGTTCTGTTGGGATCTCAGGACGGCGGGGATCCAGCAAGGCCTTAGGAAGGGAAAGAATTGCCCCGGAAGGCAGCCCAACTGCACAGAAAGGAGGATATTCATGAGGATCCAATCCCAGCTGAGGGCCAGTTACAAAGTGTCATTATCACAGAAATGTATAAGAGAGGGTTTAAAATAAAGAAATGGGTTAATGAGGCTCCCTTAAATAGCCAAAAACAGTCATCCAACAATACACATGGGTCTGAATAAACGTTTTGAAGATAGTTTTGAAGATAATTTTTTTTTTTAATTTATTGTAGAGATGAGGTCTCACCAAGTTGCCCAGGCTGGTCTCGAACCCGTGGGCTCAGGCAATCCTCTCACCTTGTCCTCCCAAAACACTGGGATTATAAGTGTGAGCCACTGCGCCCGGCCAATAATTGTTTCTTAATGCATCATCCTGAGACATCAGAAAATAAAGCTCTAGTATCAAGATATGGGTAATGATAAAAGAGAAGAGAGTGGAAGTCCACTTGGATCTCTTTGTCACTCTCTCCACCAGGGAGTCTCCTTCCCATTGAGCAAACACAGGTTGTATGTACCACTGCAGTATGGTCGCCAGGGAGGGTGCAGGACTGAGGACCAAGCATCAGCATAGCACCAGTCCCAGTAATGGTGAGTAAAGCTGATAAACAGCTAGCCAGGATGTCTTCCTCATATTTAAGAATACAATCGTAATACCAAGTGCCTGTCAGAGCTGAGAGCCAAATGTGCTTGATAAATCAACTAGGTGCAGGAAGCTATAAACAGAGTCTTGAACTTAGGATATATAAGGATGAGATCCTAAACCCTGCCAGTTTCCACACCCTGTCAGCACAAGCTAGCTATGTTAAGAATGTTATCAGGGGCCGGCATGGTGGCTCACGCCTGTAACCTCAGCACTTTGGAGGCTAAGGTGGGAGGATCGCTCAAATCCAAAAGTTTGAGATCAGCCAGGGCAATATAGTGAGATCTCGTCTCTACAAAAAAAAAAAAAATCAAAAAATTAGCAAGGTTTGGTGACATTCACCTGTAGTCCTAGTTACTTAGAAGGCTGAGGTGGAAGGACTCCTCAGCCCAGGAGGTTGAGACTGTGGTAAGCCATGATTGTGCCACTGCTCTCCAGCCTGGGTGACAGTGACACCCTGACTCAAAACCAACAAAAAAGAAAGCTATCAAGGAGTGAATTTCTGAGCTAAGTGAAAACGTCAAACAGAAGGGAAGTTGTTCATCACAAACAAGGACTAACAGAGAAGTCAGTGGCAAGACTCAACTAAGGAACTTTCTACACTGAAATACAGCCCTGTCACCACCCTTCCCTTACAGATGGCCAGACAGGGCTCTGTTGGCAACACATCCCCTGCTCTGTCCCTCAGTGTGGCTGCTCAAGGGAAGCTGGTCACCCCAGAGGCCCCCCCAGACACTCACTCAGCAGGTGTCGGCTGGTGATGCCCCGCTCGGTGATGGTGGCCTCCATGGCACTGATAGAGGAGGGGAAGATGTAGGACTGCTGGAGCACCTGGGGCAGCTGGGGGCGGTCCAGGGAGCTGAAGGCGGTGGCATTGTACTGCTCGGTGCCCTCATAGAGCTCCAGTGCAGTAAACTCATTGCGCCGAGCCTTGGTATTCCAGTACTGGTACTGCAGAGAGAGAGGAGGCAGTTCATGTTTAGCTGCTGCTTCTGCTGGAAAGGAAATTACACGGAAAGGCAACTTTCCAATTAGCTACAGTTCCAGCAACAAATATCACCTTGCATCCCAGTTTTCTTCCTTGTTACCAAATTTACTGACTTTAGGGTAGGATAATCTAGGCTATCCAAAATTCACCACAAGACAAGGGAATTCTCAGTATCTTAGAAGTACTAACAGTAATAGCTAGCCTTCGAGTCCTTAGTAGGGGAGGCATTGCTCTCAGCTAGCCTGAAGGTGACTGACATTACCCTTATTTCACCAGTAAAGCAACACAGACAGCATATACAACTAGGGAGAGGTTGTGCCAAGAACCGAAAGAGGTTAAGATCAGACCTAGGGAGTCTACCTCCTGAGCCCAGCCCCCTAGCCAACACACCATCCAGGAGGCTGGGAACCCATGAAAACACAAAGCAGCAACTGGGTCTCTGGAAAGGACTTTAGATGCAGGAAGACCTCTGAAGCTACCTCGAATCCCAGCAGCAACTCCTTACCACCACCCAGTTCTCTGAATGCACGAGATGAACGGGGCCCTTGGCTTTCTTCTGCACAGAGGAGTGTATAATGCGCCCAGTGATGCCATCAATGAGGAAGATGCCAATAAAGGTACGCTCATGGTGCACGTCTGTGCTCTCTGTCACCACGGCCAGTAGGTTGGGGTTCAGGCTCTGGGGAAAGAAAGAGAAAAGCACCTTCAAAACCATGAGGGTATATCATGCAATCACCGATGTTACTTCTCTGCTCAAAACCTCCCAGTGGCCCTTCACTGCACTCCAAATAAAGGTCAGGGTAACAGCCTGTAATCTGGCCCTATCGCCCTCTGCCCTCGGCAGCACCAACGCACCTCCTCACTTGTCCTTTCAGTCACCAGTCCTCCTTGCTGTTCCTTGAATACCCCAGGCATGCTCTGGCTTTTCTGTATGGAAGCCTCTTCCCCTAGATAGCCACATGACTTACTTCCTCACCCGACTCATCACGCAGTGCCACTTTCTCAGGGAGCCCCCCTTCATCACCCTACAAACACCACAGCCCTTCTCAGGCCTGTGCTCGCTTTCCCTCTTCCTGGCTTTATTTTTCTCTGTAGAACCAGTCACCTTCTAACATACTAATTTACCAGCTGGGCATGATGGCTCATGTCTGTAATCCCAGCACTTTGGGAGGCAGAGGCAGGAGAAGTGCTTGAGTCCAGCAATTTGAGACCAACCTAGATAAGACCTCATCTCTACAAAATACTAAAAAAAATTAGCTGGGCATGGTGGCACACGCCTATAGTCGCAGCTACTCAGGAAATAATAATAATAAATAATAAGTCTACCTATTTATTTTTTATTAGCCTCTCCCAGCTACAATGACAGAAAATTTTGTCTGTTTTGTTTACAGACGTATTCCAGTGTCTAAAAAGAATGCCTGCAACCACCTAGTGCTCAAAAATGTGCTGCTTCATCTCTGTGCCATTCCTTCCAAAATTCCATAACCACCACATAACCATGAGAAAAACATCAAAGCAAGATTCAAAAACATTCTACAAAACACCTGACTAGCACTCTAAAACAATCAAGGTCATGAAAAATAAGGAAAGAATGAAAAACTGTCACACACAAGAGGAGACTAAAGAAATCTGACAATGTAGGATCCTGGAAAAGAAAAATGACATTAGTGAAAAAACTGGTGAAAACTAAATAAAGTCTTGAGCGTACTTAACAGTCATGTACCAACACTGGTTTCTTAGTTTAAACAAATGTGCCGTGGTCATGTAGCAAACACTGGTAAGAGGGATGTGAAACTATATGCACTATCTTTGCAGCTTTTCTGTAAATCTAAAATTACACCAAATGAAAAGTTTATTTTAAAAAACTAAAATTTGCATAATGACATGAATCCAAAATGGCCTGTTACTAGCTGGCATTCTTTTCCAGCATATGAAAACACAGCTTCTCTTATAAAGGTAAAATGACATAATTATATATTTTTCTAGTGTAAGTCAAAATGTACTTTAGAGTTTGTGGGCCAGGCACAGCTGCTCACACCTGTAACCCCAGCACTTTGGGAGGCGGAGGCGAGAAGATTTCCTGAGCTCAATAGTTTAAGACCAGCCTAGGCAACTTGGCGAGATCTCATCTCTACAATAAATCAGAAAATTAGCCAGGCATGGTGGTGGTGCACACTTATAGTCCTAGCTACTTGGAAGGCTGAGGTGGAAGGATCACCTGAGCCCAGCCCAGGTTGAGGCTGTGGTGGCCATGATCGTGCCACTGTACTCCAGCCTGGGTGAGTAAAACTCTGACTCAAAAAAATAAAGTAAAAACTTCAGTGTCCTTTAAAAAAAAAATCTATTATTTTGGTCATCCTGAACAGGTTAAAAATGACTGCTGTCACATGGGAGTTATTCATCAATTAAAAATTCAATCTGTATCCATTAAAGTACAGAATAAAATAAATAATCAAGTCAAAAGCACTAATAACATATAACACTAACTATGTGGCAGGCACTATTCTCATCACTACATGTTATCATTATCTTTAAAACAATCCTCTGAAGTCAGTGCTACTACCTCTGTCGTATTGGTGCAAATGGAAGTTTCAGCAGCCTAAGAGATAAAACAGCTAGTTAGTTCATGGCAAAGCCAGCTCTGAACTCAACATCCCAACAGAGGTTTGCTCTCTGCTATGCAGGCTCACACTCAGTGAGAAGGCTTCCCTGTCGAGTTCCATGGCCACACTGCTCTATTCTGTGACACCCCCTCCACCTGAATCTCTGCTGTGCCAGATGGTGTAATTAACATTCATTACTATTGTGATTACATTCTCTCCTAGGATAGTCTTGCAGCACACTTGTCGCCCTGTCTCCCTTCCTTTACCACTAACCAGAGTATGGGATCACAGAGATGGAGCTCTACCACTAAGTACAATAAGAGCTAACATCTGCTGGATACTCACCCTACACCAGGTACTGGGTACGAGTATCTAATGTGATCATCACAACAACCCTAGGAGGAGGGAATATTATGCCCATTTTACAGACAATAAATTAAGGCTCAAAGGTATTAAATGATCTGTATCTACCAAGTCCTAGAGCCAGACTTCAGGCTCTTGATTTCCTGATTCTAAAGTCCTGGCTCTGTGCCAGACCACTGGCCGTACCTTGTAGAGCACACTGCGGTCCCCCATCACACGGCCCTGGGAATGAACGTGCTCACTGCTGCGCTTCCCCTTCACCGTGACGATCCGCTGTACTTCTGGGGGAATGGTCAGCTCCCAGCTCAGTTCAGTGGTGAGGTCCTAGGGCAGGGGCAAAAGAGCCTGAAATCAGGAGGGCACTCTTCGAACTGAAACAACTGGAGCTAGACAGGCCTGCGGTTCATCATTTGAGGCCTTTGTGTTTGAGATCAGAACTAGAAAAACGGCAATAAAGATCTCGCATATGAAGAAGTTTTAGAACTCTCAGTTTGATGAAGAAGAGTACTCAAGAGTATCCCATTGTTTATCTGAGTAGGAAAAGTCCAAGGAAAATATACCATTTATTACTAAAATCTAAGATCCCTGTATACTGGGCCAGCAGTGAAGGATGATGCTAGCACGGACCTCAAAACACTTCCTGTCTACTTCTTTCTGGTCACAGGAAACTGGTAAATACACATTTATGGTTAAACACATTATTATACCTTTATCCTATGGAATTAGGAGCCCTTGGGGGCAGGGGTTGGTAACTGGGAAGGGACGTAAGGGCCTTCTGGGGAGCTGGTGGTGTTCTGCTTCCTGAAGTGATTACCATGTACACAAGAGTATTCCTTTTGTGAAGGTTCACAGTCATAACCTCATGATTTTGTACTTGTGTCCATATTTTACTGTAATAAAAAATAGGTTTGTTGACAAAGTAATGAGGTAGAAGTCCTATTACATGAAAAAATCAAATTTAACAATAACAAATATAGGTCAATTCCATGTGAATGAGAAAAAAATGTATGAGACACGTATGTCCATACAGCTGCTGATACAGTATGATAAAGACACAAGATGGTGGGAGGAGGCCCAGCAAGCTGGCGACAGACTTCCCATCTGGGGAAGATAGCTGGGAATGGGCTGTGAGGGTCTGCTCACATTTTGCTTGTGAACTTCTGTACCAATAGAATTCTTTACAATGAGAATACATGTATTACATTTTTGAAATAATAAAAATGTTATTAAACAAATAAGGCCGGTCATGGTGGCTCACAACTGTAATCCTAGCACTTTGGGAGGCTGAGGCAAGAGGACTGCCTGAGCCCAGGAGTTTGAGACCTCATCTCTACAATAAATCAAAAAATTAGTGAAAAAACAATTGTCCTTCCAAGTTGTTAAAAGGGGGCCTTGAAAGAAACTGTTCTCTGTAGATTCAGGAGCGTGATCTGGAGTGTGGGTGTCATGAATCAGTGCAGTCCTGAGCTATCATCTGAGTAAATGGTGGCCTAGGAAGACAAAGGAGGCAGAGCTTTCTGTGGGAAGTTTGTCAGGTGTGGCCTATAGTCCCAGCTACTTGGAAGGCTGAGTGGAAAGATTACCTGAGCCTAGCAGGTCAAGGCTGTGGTGGTGGTGATCGTGCCACTGCCCTCCAGCCTGGGCAACAGAGTGAGACTCCAACTCAAAATTTAAAAAAAAAAATAAGCCTTCATTGCCACAGCGCTCTGAAAGCATGAGAACTCACTAAAATATCCCCAAAGAAGAAAGCCACCAAGTGAGGGCAAAGGCAGCAAACTCACTTGGAGGTCAAAGACTATACAGCCACACCTGACAAACTTCCCACAGAAAGTTCTGCCTCCTTTGTCTTCCTAGGTCACCATTTACTCAGATGATAGCCTCAGGACTGCACTGATTCATGACACCCACACTCCAGATCACGCCCCTGAATCTACAAAGAACAGTTTCTTTCAAGGCCCCCTTTTAACAACTTGGAAGGACAATTGTTTTTTCACTCACAAGGGTAAAGGCTGTATTTTCTGGGCAGACCATTGCCCATGTCCTCTATGCTAAAGGTTAGCTGTTACAAAAATGTCAGGAAAGGGTGCTGCACTGCATTTTCAAAACAGCAGAAGCTCAAACTTAGATGGCACGTCCCATGTGCCAGGCTTTGTGATTTCCATGTATTTCCTCACTAAATCCTCACAACAACCTTATGAGTTAGGTACTGTCATCACCTATTTCACAGACAAGAAGACAGAGGCCAGAGATGTTCTATGCCCAAGGTCACAAAGTTAATAAATGATAAAGCTAGGCTTCCAACCCAGGCTGCTGGGTCCAGGCACTCAACCTCTGTGCTCCATTGTCTCTCAAAAAGGTCTTCTAGTGAGTGCACACACAACCCTGCTAACAAGGCCAACGCCAGCCCCTTGTGAACTTCAGAGCTGGACTTCAGAGCCAGTATGTATCACTGTTTACAAGAGTCAAGATCAGAGCAAATCAATTCCATTTCTAGAGTAAATTCAAAGCACGCATTCTATCAAGAGTCGGTCAATAACATCATCTTTGTTTAAAAGTGCAACTCATTCCTCAATCCCCATTCCTACCTTCCACCCTCCCAGAAGTGGAGAAGTGTCCCTTCTCTCTGCTGTAGAAAAGAAACGTGGAATGAAGGCTCCATGAGGGCAGAGACTTGGTGTACTGTGCACTGCACCATCTGCGGCACTTAGTAGCTGCCCAGTATGAACAGATGCCTGACTCTGAATCAGACATCAGGATTACACTAATCTTAGTTTACAACAGAATGAGTAGCGTAATTCACTTCTTGGCCAAATGACCAGGAGACACCCCATCCCCCCTTCAAAGGGTCCTGCCAGGATGCCCCTTCCCTACCTTCCGAAGTCGATATCCACAGAGTCGTCCCTGCTCTGCATCCACCAGATAGAAGAAGATGGAAGGGGCAAGCTCATGTAGCTGTCTCAGGACATTCCGAGTGGCTGGGAAAGCTGTGACCTTAAAAAACCCAGACAGCCCGAAAAAAGAGTTAAAGGAAAGGACTGGGAATCTCTAAGTCATTTCCCAAGACTCATTACTCTTTTCCCATCAAAGGGAATTTTAAGAATAAGACAGCAAATCTTAAAATAATGTGAACCGGCCAGCTCAGCGGCTCAGACTGTAACCCCAGCACTTTGGGAGGCCGAGCTGAGAGAACTGCCTGAGCCCAAGGGTTTGAGACCAGACTGGGTAACTTGGTGAGATCTCGTCTCTACAATAAATCACAAAAATCAGCCAAGCGTGGTGGCATGTGTCTGTAGTTTCTGCTACTTGGAAGGCTGAGACAGAAGGATCGCCTAAGCCCAGCAGGTTGAGGCTGCAGTGGCCATGAATGTACCACTGCACTCCAGCCAGGGTGACAGAGTGAAACTCCAACTGAAAACTAATAATGATAATTTGAATCTAGCAAACTCAGTTTTGGGCTTACATTTAGTTCTGTTGAGAACCTGAGTTTTTCATAGGAGCACAAAGAACAATCCTTAGGGCTGTGTTCCTTAGGGCTGGCCCTAGAGTCTAAAGGTGCTGGCAGCGACCATGCTCCACCTCTGGATGGAGCTTGAGTCAGAGGTGGCCCCCTCATCTTGTCCTCCACTGATTGTGTGACTATCCCGCCCTAGACCCAACTCCACTCCAATGTCCTCCATCCCTTCTGAAGACACAGTACCTTGTACTCATCATCAATCAACAGCAACACCTTGGCGTAGTCTTGATCCATGACTGGAAGAAGCAAAGACTGCAAGATGGGACGCTTCAGCACTGGGGGAGCCACCTGACTCCACTTCCCAAATATGGGATTGAAGACATACAAAGAACTCATCCCTGTCTCCTAAAATAGGCAAGGTGTCAGATTCCACCAACATCAAAAGAATGCAAATCCTAAGGGCAAATCTGAAAAGCTGGGACTTCAGCTCAATTGTGAGGGGTTCCCTACTCTTTGCCCCCTTTGTGGAAAATAAATTCTTGGCTGAAGATGAATGGTCCCCTAGGCTAATGTCAAAAGGAATAAAGTCAACCTGTCTCTGGTTACAAACCTAACTAAGAACTGATAAGCTGAAGAACAAATTAAAAAGCCAAGTAACAATTCAGCAAGTCCAGGGACGCTATTCAAGAGGCGCATCTACCAATCCCTCTTTCTAATACAACTAGAAGGAGTCTACATGAATCCATTCTAATTCTGGGAAGCAGACATGTGAACAGCTTTGTGTCCTGCTCTTCCTCATAGAGAAAACAGCCGCTCGGCCTATTTGGAAGGATGAGAGCCAGCTTCCTGTGAATCTGGTGAAGTCACAACCCCTTACACTCAATTCTACTTCCATGCTGGATGGTTCCTCCACCTAGGCATTAAACTGGAAGAAACACAGTTCCTGCCCCTGAAACTTTCTCTTTCTCTCCCACAGAATTCCAAGGGCCCAGGAGAAATGTAAGTTGCAAAACAGCACAAAAGCCACACCCACTTTGGCTCCAGTTAAAGGTGACTGCCTCACCTTGTCCTTCACCAGAAGGGTGCATTGTGGAGGGTGGGGGAAATGAGCAGTAGTTCTCTGGACCATCAGCTTGAAGGAGGAGTCTGGCTTAACACTAGGTAGATATTGTTTCCACAGGATGGTGCCAGAGCTGCTCTCAATGCCAAAAAGCTGCAAGATAAACAAATGCTTGTCTCACTACTAGAAAGAGAAACCAAAGAACTGAATCTATACTTGAAGATGAGAGCCAGTGCATCCCCTCCCAAGGCCCACCCTGAACTTCAACAGGTTCAGGACCTGCTTCAACCCCACTCACCTTGCCTGAGGCTGTGACCATCACCATCATCTTCTGGAGGTTGAACTCATCCCTGGCCAGGGTGTCGATGTTGATTTCATTCTTAATCTGACTCCGGGGCTTCCGAGCATCGTAAAACATCTTCCAGAGGTGGGAAGTCCATGCCTGCAGCAGGATGAGCTGAGACGAGAGGCGTTTCAGGAACATCCCCAGCAAGCCATCTGGTGTCAAGGAAAAGGTAGCGCACTCTGCATCAACTCAGGGTCCAGTAAGGAGGTATGTGCTTTTCCTAATGAGGGATCTCTCTGTCTCTTCTGAAGTGTTAAAGTCCATACCACAAGCCCAAGGTACAGTCCAGAGTCTAAGGCCTAGTCTCACACCATATAGTCATGCAGAAGCTTCCAAAAACTACTTACCTGGCTCTTACATCTAAATCCAGCTAAACTCTTGGAATGGGAGACTAAGCAGTCAGAGATCAGCCATGCAGGATGTAGCCATGCTGTGAAGTCTCCACTACAGTCCCATATCAAGGTGGGCCAGAGGAGGCTTCTGGGTGTCATGACAAAGCCAGAAGAGGCATGGGTGTGGGAAGCTGGGGTGCGGGTTTATGTGTATCATGAATAGGTACTTCCATCTCCCATAGCCTCAGGCCTACTTTGTCAACTGTTTAACCCGTACCCAACAGATCTACTTGCAACCATTTCCCAAGGGCATCATTCACTCTATTCCTGACTCCGTCAATGAAGACAGCGTCTTTCAAATCTCCATCAGACACCTTGGAGTTGGTGACAGATGCAAGGCAGCAAGGTAAAGAATTCAGCCTCTGGAATCTGGCAGGCCTGGAGTAGAATCCCAGCTCCACTACTTACTACTGTGAGACCTTGGGAAATGAACTTCAAGTAGCTCATAGGGCTGTTGATTTTATCACATGATGTACAAACAGGGTTTAGCAGGGTGACTAGTACATCGTAAGTACTCACACAAAGTAGTGCCTCTGCCTATCTTGTTTTCTATTAATTCCAGCTCAAGGAAGATAAGTGAGAGGCAAAGGCAAACAGGACAAGTCACAAGCATGGCAGCCCACACACACCCACACATGGGATGTACCTCATTGGTGCAAGTCAGGCAGAAAAATAATTAACCAAAAGCTAGCCACGTGGGCAGGCAATGAGCAACAAGGTAGCAAGAAGCAGGTTTTACCTTGAATCGCTGGATCCAGGCAGCAGAAATAAATAGTAAAATCAAATTAATCCTCAGCTTAAGAAAACGCGCACTGCCTAGCAGGGTGCCTGGCCCAGAGCAGGCACTCAACAACTATCCACTGGACAGCCGGATGAACGATGGAAGGGAGAGGAGTGGGGGCAGGACTGAATCAGAGCAGAGCAGATCAAGCTCATCCTGGGGGTTGGGACTGTGGCTGGCTTTCACAGTCCCCGGTGAGCCCAGAAATGTCTCTCTAGAAAGATGTGGCTGCTGCTCTGGGGACAATGAGTATACAGCTCCTGGCAAGGATCTAATAAACAGGTCTGCAGGCAACAGTAGTTATTACCAAGACTTTCTTTCCTTAGGTTCTTGCCCTGGAGGGATTCCCAGTTCATCCTTTCACAAAAAAGAATGATTTCATAAACCATATGGCCAAAAATGCAGGGAAATCTGATCTCAGAGCTGATTCAGGGCAGACTGGCAATCTGCTGAGCCCAGAAGATTGCCAAGTCACAACGTCTCTTGTGGTCCCACCTACAAGCCCATTCCCAGAGCAGCCCTTCCAGCTATGCTGTGCACCCACCTCTTATGTTCATACCTGCCTTTTTGCCAAATTCTCCTTCCAGCTCAGCCTGCGCCCCAGTCAGTGGGAGATCCACCATCTCCAGGCACACCACTTCTGCCAGCGACTCCTCACGGTTCCACAGCACCACCTTCCCTGCTGTAGGAAGCCATTTTTACAAAAGCTAAGCCTGCCTCTTGGTCTTCTGAAGAGGCTCTTCTAGGTGACTCAGGGGTTGCCACAGCTCTTGTATGAAAAGAAAATGGCAGAGCAAGGGGCAGGAATCAACAGGGCAAGCAATTACGCCTTGTGGTCATATTGTACCTGAGGCAAAAGGCTTAAAAAAAAAAAAAAAAAAAAGAGCAAGTGGGGAAAGTCCTGTACCCCGCCCTAGCATGCTAAGGAATTATTCAAAAGCAGGTGATGTGGTGCTGGAAAAAACACTCAGGGCACACTCCACTTAAACCTTTCCCAGAAGGATTCCACTTAAACCTTTTCCCTGTCCAGAGCTTCCCAAAGACCAGTCTGATTAGAACTCATGGGAAGGCCTGAGGAGGAAAAGTGGGTTGGATGAGGTCTACCTACCCAGCTGCTGCAGGAAAAGTAGCAGATGATCCTCCGTCTGCACCAAGGCCCGGTAGCCCACTGAGTCATCCTTCTTCAGGAACACCTGGATATACAGCTGGAAGCCAAACAGTCAAGGCCACTGTAGTGAGAACCCGGTACCTCTGAGAGTCCCATATTCCATGATTCAAAGTGTTAGGAGTTGACAGAGGTCCAGATCATGGACTATTTGATGTCTAAACAACACAACTATTACCAAGAAGCCAGTAAGACGATGCATATTCTTAGGAGCCAGCACCACAATGATGCTACTCACTCTTGGACCTCTCAATGGCAGAACCTTCACAGGCACCACGTCATTTATCTGTGTTCTAATCACATCCCACAAGATAAGCAGGAAGCCAAGATTAGATTTTCCATTTCAGAGATGAAGAAGCCATGGCCCAACAGACTGGGAAACACAACTAAATGTATGTGGAGGCAGGCAATCCTGGGTAGTGATCAAGAGTAGAAGCTATGGAGTTAGACCTGAATCTGAACCCCAGCATCACCTCTATAAGCTCTGTGACTCTGGGTCGGGCACTAAATCCCACTAGGCCACAGTACCATTTGTAAAACCAGGTCAGCAATAACCACTCCTAAGACTGTTGAGAAGCTGGGCTCGGTGGCTCAGCCTGTAATCCTGCTCCTTTGGGAGGCTGAGGTGAGTGGATTGCCTGAGTCCGCGGGTTCGAGACCCGCCTGGGCAAGATGGCGAGACCTCATCTCTACAATAAATCAAAAATCAGCCAGGCATGGTAGCACACGCCTGTAATTCCTGCTACTCGGCAGCAGAGGCAGAAGGATCACCGGAGTCCAGTGGGTTGAGGCTGCAGTGGCCAGTAGCAGCGACTGCACTCCAGTCTGGGCGACAGAGTGAAACTCCAACTCAAAAAAAAAAAAAAAAAGACTGTTGAGAGGGTTAAGTCAATTAATGCATAAGTAAAAAGCTTAGCAGTGCCTGGCCCTGTGACATTCAAAACAGACCAGCACAAATAATACCTGCTTTCACTATAACTTGTGCCAAGTCAGTGGCTCAGGGAGAACCAGAACCCACGTCCTAATCCAGGATCCATGGCTGTGACCTGGCCCTGAGGAGATGAAACCCCATGCTGAGAGGCCCAGAGCACAGTGTCAGAAGACAAGGGTTCTTGCTTACCCGCTCAGGACGAGTGCCGCTCTGTTCCAGGCTAAACGTAATTGTGGTGTCCAGTAGCCGACGACCTGTCTCCACCAGGTAAAGGTTAATAGTGTAGCTCTGGTTGAAGCAAGCCAGTGAGTCCTAGGGGTACAGACAGCATGGGTCAACGACAGGAATCCCCCAAAGCAAAGTCCCCAAAGGAAGTCCAAGGGCTGGGGACAAATACCCTAGAAAAGGAGATAGGCCAGAAGAGGAAACATATGCAAAACAAAGTAAGGGAAGAGAAAGCTAAATGCCAAGGCAAAAATAAGGTGCCTGAGTAAATTTTACATAAAATTATATCCACTATGCTTGTTCTAGAAGGAGCCAGTACAGGGTGGCAGGGACTTCCCAAAGAAAGGGAAGACTGTGAGCAAGGACAGGAAGCAGGGAAAGCTCGGGAGATGGAGACCACAGCAGGTGCTGATGCCCGCAGTCAGAGAACCATGCTTCCACTTCAGTGCAACTGCACAGATTACCACCAGTTCAACAAGCCGGGACCACAAAAGAAATGAGGAAACTGAGGCCCAGAGAAGGTGGGCAGGAACAGATTCTAAGGATTCCACCTCCTCATCTCTCAATAAAAAGGGATCAAAAGAAACATCGTTTAGTTTACACTACTTGGGAAACCCCACTTGAGGTTGGGAATGCTGAGATCTACTCCCAACTGACACTGCTCCTCCAGCTCTCTTGGTGGCCCCTGCATCTCTAGGTCTAGCACACTGCCCAATGCCACACCCTACCTTTGCACTAGACTTCTCCGAAAAGCTCCCCATTGACCCATCTTCAGAATTGCTAGGTTTCTGCAACAGGAAAGAGAAAGACAGGAAAAAATTCAGCCAAAGGGTCACTTCTCAGTCACCAAAATGAAGTTTGTCTTCTCAGCACTTGGGAGAAGGCAAACCTCATTGCTCACCCCTGCCCCCAAAGCCTACACAACCCTTAACAGTCAGATGAAAGTAAGGTTGTATATTGGGGTCTCACTCCTGGGGAGAAATGGGGTGTGCAGAAAACTCTATAGATATGGCAAGACTGCATTTCTCAACAGCCTCCTTCCCCAGGGTTCAAACTGACCAGGTGAATGGGCCCAGACTTCTGATTCTCAGGATTCCTGGCAGAGACAAAGAAGGAGAACCCCAAGTGCTGACTGTCATTCTCAGTACTTACCGCTTCATTCCTACAGGTCATGACTGCAGCCACCGTCTTCTCCCCAGTGGTGGCAAAGCTCACTAGGGCAGTCTGGGGGGGAAAGCGAGGTGTCAGCTCCTAAGTGGGACCTGTACTAGCCAGCAGTCCTACACAGGGACTCTCCAGGGAAGGCTCCTTGGCCTTGGAACTGAAAGTGCTCCCACTTGGGAGCATGATGGCCAGGGAACTCGAGAGCAGAGGGAGGCCCTAGTTGCCTCTGTTGCTGAAAACAGAACTCTCCCCTACCTGAACATGGGCACAGGCCAGCCCTAAATCTGCTCTTGGCATCTACAGGGAAGCTCTCAATTACATACCCACTTTCCTGTGGACTTGAGTGCTAGTTTTGCTCTAAAGATCATTTGTAACACTCAGGAGAAGCATACCATTTCTGCTGTACGGCTGCCCCTCTCAATCCACTTATGGGAAGGTGTCCTCCACCTTGGGCCTCCAGATTCAAGACATTGCCTTCTAGCACCCATGTCTAACTAAATTCTCCGGAATCTCAGAAAAATCATGGTGCCTACGGTTACCTGTGGAAAGTTTTTGAGCAAATTCAGGGTCCCATGATGGTAATGCAGCAGAGCGTAGTGGCTTGGGGACAACTGCAGGAAGAATTGGGCCCGAGAAGGATCCACCGGGTTGGGCTGCGTGGGCAGAACCCGGGGTTGGAATCCACTTGCAAATTCTAAGTCGAGAGACTGAGAGGCAAGAAGGAGGAGGATTAGGGCTAGAAGCTGACAAGTCACCAATTCATCCCAGGCTTATATCCTCTGCCCCACTTTGCCGGGAGAAGTAACTTGACCATGGCAGGTGCTCCCGACACTCTTATTCACTCTCCCCTAAAGGGAAAGTAGCCCATTTCCCTTACCAGGTCAGCCAGAGGCCTGAACTTCAGCCCATGGGTGGCACAGCTCAGGAAGGAAGCCATGACACTGGGAGACAGCCCCCAGGGGAATCATGCCAACCTCTCTAAGGTCCAAAGGCAATGCCTCAGACAAGGGAAGGAGCTGTGGCCTCTCACCTGAAGTGGGATCTGCCTCAGCTCCCACTCCGTTTCCAGAGCCAACGTTTGGAGGGAACGTGAGCTTGGGTCAGGGCATACCAGGACAGCCTCATCCACCACACCACAGGCTCCAGTGAGACGCTGCAGCCATGGAGTCGAAACCCTGACCTAAAGGAAAGTCATTGTAACAGAAGGCTCGTGAAGGATTTTTACGTTTCTGCTTAGCTCATCAGCAATGTCCCACCAGAATCCCACCAGTTCAAAGCTCAAAGGCTCTTCATGGTTGTTTCCATAGGAGTTCTTCTTGTCCCCTCTAGCCCCACCCCTCAGCCTCCTGAGAGCCTCCAAACCTGGAGAAAAGTCAGGATTTTCTTTCTGGTCATAGAAAAACATACCTGACACTTCAGCTAAATATCTCCCTACTACGTTTGTCACATGTGGTTTCCTATCATTATTTGCCAGCATTACCTGATAAGACACAGGCAATGACTGGATCTATATGATTTTTCAGCCACCCCAGAAGAGTATCAAATACAAATATGAGTACTTTCAACAGATACTTGATGAGAAGGCTGCTGGCAAGTGACCACAATCAGGGAGCATAAATGGCTTTTGCACCCGCCCACCAAGTTCCCTTGCCCCTGGTGCAGAGAAACCTATCGGCTCCCCTCCCCATTCATAAGGCTCCTTGAGGCTGCTGCCATACCTGCTGAACAATCTCTCCATCTTCCACGTTAAACTTGACAATGTTCACATGGCTGAAGGGAACAACTCCAAGGGCCCACACTACTCCAGAGCCGCAGGAATACACCATCTGATAGTGGATGCTGTCACTAAGAGAAAGAAGAAAAGGAGAGAGCAACAGCTGTAGCCCTAGGATAAGGACATCCTTAGGGACCTTCCAAAAGCAGGTAGCCATCCTACGCAGATGCCACAAACTTGTAACAGGTTGTATTTGGCTCACATGGTTTGGGGGTGGGTTTTGTTTTATGATTTAGTTAACACTTGGAACAGAGATTATATGTAAAAAATCAGATTCCGAGCTTTTCTTAAAGTTAGAAGATGTGGTAACACTAGGTCTACCTACAGGCCTACAGGGCAGCCACCAGCTGAGTAAGGCTCCCTCTCAAGGTAGGCCAGATGCACTGTAGTTCCCAACAATCCTCATAGGGCCTTTGCTACTCTCGGATGTTCTGCACTCCGCCCACAGGAATTTGAGGTTTGGGACCCTGCTCTAAACTTCGAAAATGGCCACAGTGGTCTAAGCTGATCATTTCCTTTCCTTCCTTCCTCCTGTTCCTTCCCCAGCTTTTGTAGAGATGGGGTCTTGCTATGTTGCCCAGGCTGGTCTCAAACTCCTGGCCTCAAGCAATCCTCCCACCTCAGCCTCTCACAGTGCTAGGATAACAGGCGTGAGCTACTGCGCCCAGCAGTTCTAGGTCTTAATATGAACGAAAAGCTCAGTCTAACTGGAACCAGAAGTCAAAAAGCCCAAAGTATTATGACCATAAGTGAGTGGCTGGCTGCCTCTAGTGCCCCAGTTTGAGTTTTCTCCTTGCTGCAAAGGAAACTCCAGAAGCAGCCACAGCCTTTGAGTACAGGTCTAGATCTAGTGAATGCAACATATGTCGCACAATACCAACACGAGGCAGGCCCAGGTCGAAGCAAATGCTTCACACCCTCAAGACAGAGGAGCATGCAGCATAGGAAAAAGCCAGCCTTACCTTTCTGGGAGATGTTCCAGCCACTTGAGGTGCCCGCTGGAGAGGTGGTGAAGGGCAAGAGTGGTCTTCTTCAGGACCGCAACATACCTCACTGACTCCTGCAGGCCGACCAGCCCAAGTGCCTGGAAACTGAGCATAGGCAAGGCTGAGCACTGCCCACCCTGCAGAGCCTCAGGACAGAGGAGACTGGAACATACCCTGGGGCTTGCTGGGTAAGAAAATGGGCTTTGAAGTCAAACATACTTGGATCCTCATCCTGGCTCTACCTCTCATTAGCCAACTTGAGAATTTGCATTTGCAACCATTTGGCCACAGTGTGTCCCTGAAACCCACCCCATCTAAGGGTTGTTTCCTCCTTCTCCTGGGACTTCACAACTGGACCAACCCTCCAACATGCACCCATCAGACACTGTGGTCATGATTGGACTACATGCCTGCCTGCCCAACTGACAGTGAACCCTGTGACAGAAATAGTCTCACATGCACGTGTGTTCACCATGTACTTACCAAATGAATCTCTAAGAGAAAATGTGTAAGCTAATGCTAATTTGTTTTTTAATTAGAGTCTCACTCTGTCACCCAGGCTGGAGTACAGTGGCATGCTCATAGCCACTGCAGCCTCGACCTCCTGGGCTTAGGCAATCCTTCCACCTCAGCCTATCAAGTAGCTGGAACCACCAGTGTGCACCACCATACCCAGCTAATTTATTTATTTTAGAGACAAGGTCTCATCAAGTTGCCCAGGCTGGTCTCGAACTCCTGGGCTCAGGCAATCCTCTCGCCTCAGCCTCCCAAAGTGCTGGGATTATAGGCATGAGCCACTGTACCTGGCCTGACCCTATAATTTAAACAACCTTAGCAAGATATAACAGCTCAAGCTGCTCTCTAAACATAAAGCTAAAACATTGGAATTTTTTTTTTTTTTTTTTTTTTTTTTGGGTGGAGTCTCACTCTGTCGCCCAAACTGGAGTGCAGTGGCCACTCCCGGCAACCTGCTGGGCTCCGGAGATCCTTCCGCCTCAGCCTTCCAAGGAACTGGAACTACAGGCGTGTGCTACCATGCCCGGCTAACTTTTGATTTATTGTAGAGATGAGGTCTTGCCAAGTTTCCCAGGCGGGTCTCGAACCTGCGGGCTCAAGCAATTCACTCACCTCAGCCTCCCAAAGGTGCGAGATTACAGGCTGAGCCACCGAGCCCGGCTGGAAGTTTTATATTATGCTTTTACCTCTAGAACACCACAAAACTCACAAGTCACGGTGAGATTAGGAAAAGCACTCAAGTATAAGAAAAAAAGCTGCACCTAGCACACAGCTCTGTGTCTACCAGGCACTCATATATATTAGCTGAGTCAACTCAAGTGTTCTATAACCTCAAGCTCATCCAGACCTGAGCTGAGCATTCAATGCTCTTGGCTCTTCACTGGTGCCTGGGAAAAAGTCAAAAAGGCTATAGTTGCTGTCTATGCAGATCTGTGTTCACTCAGTCAAGATAAAATCCAGTTTCTTCCGCTACCTGCCACTGTCCAAAGTTATCTCCCAGTTGAGGCCCCCAATGTTAGTCTCCCAGGAACGCATGATTCGGCCTCCATTGGACACAGTAATTGCATCTGGAAAAGAAAAGATTGTGGTGAATTCATTTCCCAAACTCACTCTGTCACCTCCTAGTGTCTGTGAGCAGTAGCCTCATCTCTGACTTATGGATGCAAATAGATGTTAAACAGGTACCTGTCCTTCAATGTCAGGAGCACCCCTTCTCCCTTCCCTACCAGACCCTGTGCAAAGGAAGGAAACAAGGAAGGGGCAAGGGAGTCTACTGCATGATGGAAACACTTAGGACTCTGCTCACCCTGTCCGTGCAGCAGCATGGCGTCCACAGCCCCTTCTGCAGTACCCTTGTCAACATGGCGCCACACTGAGAGACAGGAAAGTCGGGTGTTACTATGAACCGAAGAGGGACACCCAAGAAGACTAGGAGATAACTGAAGAGCTCTTTGGCTGCACAGTGCTGTCCAATTTATCTCAAAGGAAGAAAGAGTACAGCTAACTGGCAGTGATCAAGTTCCACTCTCTGGGTCTTAAGGAGAGAAGGTTGAGAGAAGCCACTGCTATTCAGGCTCCGCTACCACCCCATCAAACACATCAATAGCTGGGTACAGTGGCTTACACCTGTAATCCCAGCAATTTGGGAGGCAAAGGCGAGAGGATGGTTTGAGCCCAAGGGCTCTAGACCAGCCTGGGCATCTTGGCAAGATCTTGTCTTTACAATAAAACAAAAAATTAGCCAGGTGTGGTGGCACAAGCCTGTAGTTCCAACTACTTGGAAGGCTGAGGTGGAAGGATCACCTGAGCCTGGCAGGTCGAAGCTGCAGTGGCCAAGAGCATGACACTGTACTCCAGCCTGGGCAACAGAGTGAGACTCCAACTCAAAAAAAAAAAAATGTCAACAGACAAAGACAAGATGAACAAAATCCATCCCATTCACAAGAAAAATAGTGACTGTAATTATTTTCCATGATTTTAAAGTCTACAAACATCCAGCTGGTATAGTTAGTTGAGGACATCTGAGCTTTTACTGCAGAAAGAAACATGTGTTTTTTATTTAAAAACACTAGGAACTCAGGCTGAGGGAATACACTGCAAAGGCCAGTTACAGAAATATATTAAATATTTAAAAGATGATGAGACTGTAAAAAAAAATGTATCAGAATCCACTAAGAGGCTTCTTTTGGCCAACATGTCCCTAACTCGGGAACCAGCTAGGCAGACTTGGCTTCCCCACAGCCAGCCTTCAACCCCTGAGCCAGCCAGTCACTGTTCACAGTTCACTCACAGATCTCCCCGGTACGAGAATTTAAAGCTGCAATTACATTCTTCTCTGTGGCCACAACCAACTTCTTGGATCCAGGGGAAAATTCCAAGGAGGCAAACTTGAGCTTCCCAACATACTGCTGTCTCCTGAGGGAAAGAGAGCAAGGAACATAAGGGCAAAACCAGCATTGCACAAATGCTCTGAAAAAAGACAAACCACAGGGTTATCACCATCACACCTATCTTAGGACATTAAGAAGCGTTTGTGAATGAAGAGATCTGACCCAAAGCAAGATTTCCATGCAATGTGGTCAGAAGCAAAGGAAACAAGAGAATTACCCCCTGATAGATGAAATACACTAACAGTCGTCCTTCTAAATAGAAGCACATATTTACCTCAAGACAAATGACAGCCAAAAGAGTTCCTGTCCTATATCCCACAAGAACAAACACACAAGTCCTCTGTGTGTTCAGTGACGGAGTGAACCCAGCCCGTAGCCTAAGGTGAAGAAGAGACGCAAACCTGCCCTCAATGAGCAGAGTGCTACCTTCCCTTCTATTGTCCCTGACTGCTAGGGGACAGGAGTCTACCAAAGTTCCAGCAGCACTCCAGAGCCCGCACCCAGCCTTTGTTCCCTCCAGCCTGTTCTAGCCCACACATACTCAGGACCCATTTGGTTCTGTACCCATGCTTTTCTGGGGCTATATCCCATCACTTTCAACACTCTTACCTAAGCATAAAAGGAATGTAATTAGCCTTGCATAAGCACAGAGGAGGTGTTTGCACACTGCCATTCATGAAGAAGTCTCCAGCACATTAAACACATATGACATGTATGCTAAATTCCTCATCATGATATTGTTTGGTTTAGTTTGGAAAAAAAAAAACTAAGACAGTGGTAGAAACAAAGGTTTATATGTCATTTGTCAGTTTTTACCTGTATTTTCACACACTTTATTCTCACTGTATCCACTAAACAACCCTACAAACACATAGGGCAAATATTATTGTTGTTGTTATTATTATTTATTTATTTATTCATTTTTGAATCGGGGTCTCATTCTGTCACTCAGTCCAGAATGCAGAGGCATGAATATGGCTCTCCACAGCCTCAACCTCCTAGGCTCAGGCAATCCTTCTGCCTCAGCCTCCTGAGTAGCTGGGAATATAGATGCACACCACCATGCCTCACTAATTTTTTATAGTGATGGGGTCTCTGTTTCCTAGAGTCTAGAACTCCTGGGCTCAAGCAATCCTTCCACCTTGGCCTCCCATAGTGTTGGGATTGTAGGTAAAGAAACCAAAATCCAGAAAGGTCAGTTCATTACTGTTAGAACTAGAGCCCAAAACTAAGACCTTCTGACTCTCAGTTCCATAGTCTTTTAAAATACTGTTATAGCCTATCTGAACTATAAAAGTAATGCCTAAAAATAAGTAAATAAAAAAAATAATAAAGGCCCCATCTTCAAATATAGTAACATTAGAGGTTAGGGTTTCAATATAGCAATTTGGGGGGATACAATTCCTTTTTTTTTTTTTTTAGTCAGAGTCTCACTCTGTTGCCCAGGCTGGAATGCAGTGGCATGCTCACAGCCACCACAGCCTTGACCTGCTGAGTTCAGGCGATCCTTCTGCCTCAGCCTTCCAAGTAGATGGGACTACAGGCATGCACAACCATGCCCAGCTAATTTTTATGATTTATTCTAGAGATGAGGTCTCGCCAAATTGTCCAGGCTGGTCTCCAACCTGTGGGCTCAGGCGATCCTCTCACCTCGGCCTCCCAAAGTGCTGGGATTATAGGCATGAGCCACTGCACTCAGCCCTATTTATTTATTTTTTTGAGTCAAGGTCTCACTCTGTCACCCAAGCTGGAGTGCAGTGGCATAATCACAACTCGCTGCTGCCTCAACCTCCTAGGTTCAGGCAATCCTTCTGCCTCAGCCTCCTGAGTAGCTGGGACTATGGGCATGTACCACCACTCCCAGCTAATTTTTTTATTTTTTATTTTTTTGTAGAGACAGTGTCTCACTATGTTGCCCAGGCTGGTCTCAAGCAATCCTCTCACCTCAGCCTCCCAAAGAGCTGGGATTACAGTTGTGAGCCACCAGGACTGGCACAATTGGGCCTTTAAAAAGGTAACTACAGTTTAATGAGGTCAAAAGGGTGGTGTTATAAGGACACTAATAGGATTAGTGTCCTTATAACAAGAGGAAGAGGCACGAGGGACGTGTAGGACAGTAAAGGCAATATGAAGGTAAAACAAGAGGGCAGCATTCTGCAAGCCAAGGAGAAAAGCCTCGGGAGAAACAAAACCTGCCAAACACCTTGATCTTGAACTTCTAGCCTCCAGAACTGTGCGAATATACATTTCTGTTTGAGCAACCCAGTCTGTGGTATTTCATTATAGCAGACTGAGCAAACTAATATAACTGCCACTACAGATATGCGGTTTTGTTTTGTTTTTTGAGAAAATATTCCTGGGCGTAGGCAATATTCTCACCTCAGTAGCAGGGATTGCAGGTACACATCACCATGCACAGCTTTACAGATAATACTTTTAAAGTTTTGGTGTAGTCATATGCTGCATAACAACATTTTGGTCAATGATAGACTGTATATATCCCATTGGATTACAATGGAGCCGAAAAAGTCCTATTACCTAGTGCCATAGCATTGGAGCATAATGCATTACTCACGTTTATGGTGATGCTGGTATAAACAAACCAACTGCACTGCCAATTATATAGAAGTATAGCACATTCAATTAAGTACAATGCATAATACTTGATCAAGATAATAAATGACTGTGTTACTGGCTTAGGTATTTATTACAGTATACTTTTTGTTGTTGTCTTAGATTATACTTCTACTCATAAAAAAAAGTTTACTGGCCAGTGGCTCACACCTGTAATCCCAGCACTTAGGGAGGCCGAGGCAGAAGGATTGCTTGAGCCTAGGAATTCAAGACTACCCAAGGCAACATAGAGAGACCTTGTTGCTACAAAAAAATATAAAAAATTAGCCAGGTGCGGTGGTGTGCAACTAGAGAGGTTAAGGCAGAAGGATCACCTGAGCCTAGGAGGTCGAGGTTACAGTGAGCCATGAATGTGCCACTCCACTCCAGCCTGGGCAACAGAATAAGGCTGCAACTCAAAAAAAAAAAAAAAGTTAATTGTAAAGAAGCCTCAGGCAGGTCCTTCAGGAGATATTCCAGAAAAAGGCATTATTATCATAGAAGATGACAGCTCTAATGTGTCTTAATACCCCTGAAGATCTATCAGGGGAACAAGATGTGGAAGTGGAAGACAGTAATACTGATGATTCTGACCTGTGTAGGCCTAAGCTAATGTGTGTGTTTATAAGACTAAAAAGTTACAATAAGTTATATTAAAGAAAAGAAAATATCTTTTTTTTTTTTTGAGTCAGAGTCTCACTCTGTCACCCAGGCTAGAGCACAATGGCATGCTCATGGCCACCACAGCCTCAACCTGCTGGGCCCAGGTGATCCTTCTGCCTCAGCCTTTCAAATAGCTGAAACTACAGACATGCGCCACCATGTCCGGCAATTTTTTTTTTTTAATTGTAGAGATGAGGTCTCACCAAGTTGCCCAGGTTGATCTTGATCCCCTGGACTCAGGCAACCCTCTTGCCTTGGCCTCTCAAAGTGCTGGGATTACAGGCTTGAGCCACTGTACCTGGCCCTGAAAAATATCTTTTTATGAATTTAGTGCAGCCTAAGCGTACAGTGTTTATAAAGTCTACAGTAGTATACAATCACTCACCACTCACTCATTGATACACCCTGAACAATTTCCAGTCCTGTAAGCTCCATTCATGGTAAGTGCCCTAAAGAGGTATACCATTTTTTAATCTTTTATACCATATTTTTACTGTTCCTATTCTTTCTTTCTTTCTTTTTTTTTTTTTTTTGAGTTAGAGTCTCACTCTGTCGCCCAAACTGGAGTGCAGTGGCCGCTCCTGGCCACCGCAGCCTTGACCTGCTAGGCTCAGGTGATCCTTCCACCTCAGCCTTCCAAGTAGCTGGAACTACAAGCGCGCGCTATCACGCCCAGCTAATTTTTGATTTATTGTAGACATGAGGTCTCACCAAGTTGCCCAGGCAGGTCTCGAACCCGCAGGCTCAGGCAATCCACTTACCTCAGCCTCCCAAAGCGAGGGATTACAGGCTGAGCCACCGAGCCAGGCTTACTGTTCCTTTTCTATGATACACAAATACCATTTTGTTACAATTGCCTACAGTATTCAGTACAGTAACATGTTGTACAAGTTTGCAACCTAGGAGCAATAGGCTATACCATACAGCCTATGTGAGTAATAACTTACACCATCTGGGTTTGTGTTGAGTACACTCTATGATGCTCTCAAAACCAAGCATTTCTCAGAATGTATCCTCATCATTAAGCAACACATGAATATATTTCCTTCTGTTTACTTTTCAATTTTAAGGTTGCACATACCTAGTATTCTGCTAAATTAGAGACACATATCACTTGCTATATATGTGTACATGTGACATTGTGAACATACGTGCACATCATTAAAAATGTGACGTAAGCTGTATTTGTCACACAGTCTGGCACAGCAGGCACTCAATACATGTGTGAATCAATTTTTCTGAGACAGAAAATATTTCATAGAGAAGTAGACATCTGTGCTGGGCCGTGAAAGACAAAGTAAATAGTAATACTAATGGGTAACATTTAGTGATTTGCACTCAATCAGTCAGACATTGTGCTCAGTAATTTAATGGGATTATCTCATTCATCCTCACACCTACTGTAGGAGATATTGGACTGTTAGTAAACCCATCCTACAGACAAGAAAACCAAGGCACAGCGTGGGTAAGTCACTTTCACCAAGATCACACAACTCTTATGTGGCAAAATCCAAACAATACTAAATGGACTGCAGGGCCTTAAGGAAGAAGTGGATGAGCGAATGAATGAATGAATAAACGGCATCGCCTATCTGCTTGTTTTGGGCAACCCTGCTCTGAGCTCAGGGCCAGACCAGGCTGAAGGAAAGGGAAAAGGAGTCAGTTTAGAACTTATAAAATGAAATTGCCCTGAAATGCCTACAAGGCACCAATTCGAGTAGGAATGAAAGTTCACTGACGGCTTGGCCACGACCTCTGACAACCGATAGATCAGCAGACGTGACAGTCATTGAAATGGAACCTGACGGAGAAGATGGCATCAGTGACCTCTGACCAGAACCCCAAGCATGCCTGGATGGCAGGGTCGCCGGCTTCACAGACATACAACCTGTGGAGTCACACAAGCAACAGCTTAGAAGGATCCCCCAACGCTTGGTTTAAAGTTCCGCTAGCGAAGTCTTAAAATACTTAATAAGGTTTGGACAAGGGGCCCCAGATTTTCATTTTGCATCGAGTCCCGCAAATTATGTGGCCGATCCTGTTGCATAACCACCCGCCCTTTTGCAGGTAGGGGACGGGAACTGGGAAAACAGCCATATATTTCCCGAGTAGGCCCCCCCAAGTACGCACCAGTCAAACTTGCCCACTTGGTCTTCATAGACTGCGGCCGCAGGAATAAGCAGCGCAGCCCAAAGCCAGAGACTGGAAGCCACAGCCGCCGCCATGACGGGAGCACAGGCCCCGCCCGCCGCCGGCCCGGCATGCACCGGGTCGCGGGCCCCGACCCCGCGCGACCGTAGAGTTGGGACCACACGCAGAGCCCTCGGTGGCGCGCTCGGGTCTCGGAGGCGGCCTGGACTCGCGAAAAGTCGCCCTGCAGTCGCGGGAGAACGCGCAGGCGGCTGCCCGGCCAGGAGAAGCGAGTCGCGGCGCAGCCGATCAGGCACACGCGAGGGCAGCCCCCAGGGCCGTCCCAGAGGCCCCCGCGCCGCCGGGGTCCTAAACGGGCTGCGCCGCCTTCCGCCGCACGTGTCTTCAGCGCGATGCCCAAATCCAAGCGCGACAAGAAAGGTGGGCAAAGGGTGCCGCGGGCCCGGTGGGGGGCCCCGCGGGCTGGCTGCCCAGCCTGCGATGGAGGCTTCGGGGCGGCGGGGGCGCGGGATGAGACGCCAGGACCTCCTCAAGATGCTCCGCTGCCTCGTTGCGTGCGGCGGTGTGGGATGGCACTCGGGACCTCTTTGAGGTCCTCCGCTGCCCGGTTGCGAGCTGGGGTGGGGGCGCGGGATGAGATGCCGGGACCTCTTCGAGTGCTCTGCTGCCTCTCTGCCAACTAGGAGTGGGGACTAAAGGGCGGCAGGATCGCCGGAGGAGCTGGAGCCTGATCGGGCCAGGGAGCGGAGACTTTTGCCCGGCCTCCAGTGTTCTTGCAAGGTCGACTGGGCCGGGAAACGGCTCCTGAGCACCCATCGGGCTGTGCCCACCTTTCCTGCCTAAGCCCCTGCTGATCTTCCTGCGCTCCGGCCGCCTCCCCCCTTTCCCTTTCTTCATCACAGGCTTGTTCCCTGGAGTTGCGTCTGCCTGGCATGTAATGATATGGTCTGCGGTCTGTCTGGCTCCACCTCAGTTGTCAGTTCACAGGGCACCTCCTAAGCGACCACTTCTGACTGCCTTTACCGTGGTGGCATCTCTCTCACCCTGGCTCCTAGCAAATTCAGCCAATATTTAGGGGTCTGGCATTTGCTAGGCGTTGGAGTTAGTTTGTCAGATGGAGTAAAAGTGGAATAAAGAGGTGAGAGTGATATTTTGTGTGTGGTCGGGAAAGGTCTCTGCTGATGAGGTAACAAGTAAGAAACATGAAGAAAAGTCTGGGGTTATGTGGGAGAAAGCTGTTCCAGGTAGAGGGAATGCCAAGTGCAAAGGCTTCGAAGTGGGAGTGTGTTTGGCATGTTCAGGAGAGGAGACCAGTGTGCCTGGAACAGAATTGGGAAAATGGGGGTGGTCAGAGAGAGCAGGGTTTCATAGGCTTTTGTAAAGAATTGGCTTTCATCCCCAGGGGATGGGTAGCCATCCTAGAGCCTAGGGAGAGGACCGATGTGAAGTGCCCTTACTTTTAGAGGGTTCCTCAAGGTGCCTTGTTGAGAGTAGTTGGGGATAATGGGGCGAAGGACAGGGTTGGAGGCAGTGAAGCCAGCAGCAATCCAGGAGAGGGTGGTACAGGCTTGCACCAGGTGTAGCCGTGGAGATGATGGGGGTGACCGGCTGCATTTTGTTTCCCCTCCTTTGCTGCCTTTGTTGCTGGCGTGTGTGTGTTGTGAAGAGGGACTGTGAGTGCCAGGCAGGATGAACGGGGGTGAGGGAAGCCCCTTCCTGAGAGCACCCAGGGCTTTGCAGTTGGTTCTCTCTTACGTGTTTATTGGATTATAAGATTCTGTGGAAGGGCCAGGTCAGATCTGACAAATGCCAAACTCTTATGGGTAGAGGGCATATTTGGCCTCAGCTGTTTTTACAGTACTATAGAGGTGTTTGTCCCTCCCCAAAGAGGCATGGCTGCATCCGGGAGACACAGAGGAGACACAGTCCCGAAACTCGTCATGCCACAACATAGGCCAGCCATAGATGTCCCCGGCATCGAGATCAAGCGCAGAAAGAGTTGTGCCTCAGCCAGCAGGCAGTGAGAGCACTCCAGCTGCAGAACCAAGCCCCTCCCCCACATTGCAGTGGAGTTTTTTGGATTCATACAAGGGACTAAGGAATGTCTAGTTCGTCTAAGTAACAGGAAATATATCAGAGGATCTTCAGGCCCAGGAACGCTAGAGAGGAAGGTTCTCCACGGATCCTGGGAATGGCTTTGGTGCCAGAAATGATGGCAGCAAAGACCTTGCTGCCCTTCCATAGGCTGGCTGCATCCAACTGAGCTGCCAAGCAACAGGAGAAAATCAGTGTCCAGGTTATCTGATTGTCCCTCCTCGTCTCTTCTTTGTATTAGTTTCCTTAACCAAAACTGCCAAGAAAGGCTTGGAACTGAAACAGAACCTAATAGAAGAGGTGAGAGCTTGTTCTTTTTAATTTTCTAGAGCTTATGTTTGTTTATAAGGGTGGGTATAGGACTGTTTGCCAGAGCACACACTGTTAACAAAATACAAGTTGCTGACCCAGCCCATTTTCCTCCAGCAGCAGCACTAGTTTAAAAAAACTGCCCTGGTGGTGATTTCCAGCTTCGCTGGAGCTCTCACTCTGCCCCGCTTGTGCCCTGCGCAAAGTGTTTCATGTGTATTTTTGTGCTCCATCCTCATAACATCCCTGTGAGGTGTTGGTCTAAGAGGGTGTGGTTGCCGTTTTGCAGTTGGGGTCACAGATGCCTACAGAGGCGTGTTAGCCTGCCCAGTGTGAAAAGACTGGAGTATGTCTGGCTCCATCTGACATTCACCAGGTTTAGGTGACTATGCTGACCCTGTCTGTATTCTTTCTAACCTGCAGGCTGGGTGAGCACAAAATCTCCTGCACAAAGATTCTGCTCCTGGAGATACCCGTGATGGCTTTGGCCAGCAACCTGGGCAGAGCCACCTCCCTTTATGATAATGAGGCTCCATATGTTTCCATTTAGCAGGAGCCTTCCCATGGGTTAATTTTTCTAGGTTAACAGCTAATGATCAGTTTCACTGTTGGCCACAGACAAGTCAGGAACCTGGGCAAGGCCGTGGGGTCGGGGCGCATGGCTCAGTGCCCCTGTAGTTAGGGATCCTGGTTTCAGTAATGGAAGTAAGGAGATGACCAGATGAGGGGCCTGCAGCACTTACAGTCTCCACAGTTGTAGGGGCCTAGAGCAGATCCATTCCCATCCGAGGCCAGAGTAGTACCCAACCCTCACCGCCCCTTAAACTCAGAGTCTCTTGAATTATCCCAAAGCTTCGGAAATGTGTGGACACCTACAAGTTCATTTTCATCTTCTCTGTGGCCAACATGAGGAACAGCAAGCTGAAGGACATCCGGAATGCCTGGAAGCACAGCCGGTGAGCAGGCGTTGGGAAGAGGGCCCTCGGAATGGGGACAGCGCCGGGCTGCACTCAGTCACAACACAGGAACAGTTTCTGACCCTGGGGTACCTGAGTCGTGCAGTCACCACCTTAATATGGACAAAGCAGGCCAGAATCAGTGGCTCAGCCTGTAATCCCAGTACTTTGGGAGGCCAAGGCGAGTGGATTGCCTGAAACCACAGGTTCAAGACCCACCCAGGCAACTTGGCAAGACCTCGTCTCTACAATAAATCAAAAACTAGCCAGGCATGGTAGCGTGTGCCTGTAGTTCCAGCTATTCGGAAGGCTGAGGCGGAAGGATCACCAGAGCCCAGCAGGTCAAGGCTGTGGTGGCTGGGAGCGTGCCACTGCACTCCAGTCTGGGCGACAGAGTGAGACTCCAATTCAAAAAAATAGATAAATAAAGTAAAATAAAAAAATAAGGACAAAGCATTACCTCCCACTGAAGCCCTGAGCTTCTGGGGGTTAGGACTTGGTAGCTACTCAGGGGATGTTTGAGAAGTAATCCTTTCAGGAGAAGTGGCCCCTTAACCCTGGAGTCTGGGCCTTTTAGGGGCACACCAGTTTAAGAATGTCAATATGTACAGACAGTGACTCAAGGCTAGGCTGTAGGAGTCATGTGGCGAGTTTCTGTCCTTGGACAGACGACTCTGGTGGTGGGTCTCGTGCTGCACCAGCTCTGGTTCAGAATGTTAAACATGCCTCCTGCATACAACCAGCGGGAGTATCATTACATAATAACTCATAGCGGGCTGGGAGACAAAACGTTGCCGGTGTCAATGTTCTTGTGAGTGAGAAAACGATAAAAGGGACACTGGACTGGGGACAGAACATCCCTTCAGCCACACAGCAGCCTTGACCTGAACTTGCTGTGGGCCCCTAGGGACTAGAGCTGGTTTACGGTAGCTGAGGGAGGGGTGGGTTCCTCACAGACCCCTCTTTTTCTTGGTAGTATGTTCTTTGGCAAAAACAAGGTGATGATGGTGGCCTTGGGTCGGAGCCCATCAGATGAATACAAAGACAACCTGTACCAGGTAAGTCATGGCCCTCACGGGGAGGGACCGAGGTATAGCTCCCCTCTCTCCTGCTGCTCTCACATGACACACATACCTGCCTACCCACCTGAACCTCCACACCCTGGGAATAACAGCCTCTTCCCACCCCTACTCCTGCTGTGACAACCAGAAATGTCTTTAGATGTTGCCAGATAGCCCCTGGTGGGCAAGATTGCCCCCAGGAGAGAACTACTGCTCTAATTTGACCAGGCTGACCTCACTTTGATCTGCAGGTCAGCAAGAAGCTGAGGGGTGAAGTGGGCCTTCTTTTCACCAACCGCCCAAAGGAGGAAGTGAATGAGTGAGTATTCTGAGGAACAGAGAGGGAGAGGGGAGTCCAGGGAAGGACTTTTGCAGGGACTTTGTCCCGTGTGGGGCATCAAGCTGGAACTGTCCCTGGAAGCCTATCCCTGAGCTGGTGTCCTGTGCAGAGCCTTCTGTGTCCTCTCCAGCACGGTGCTCTGGGCTAGCTGCCAACCAGTAGCCCAGCAGATGGGAGGGAAGGCCTAGGGCCCTGGGGTACTTGTTGGGGGAGTCTGACTTGTGGGCTGGTGGTGCAGCCAGGAATCTGCCCTCCTAGCGCTTCTGTTTTCCCTGAGGTGGTTCACGAAATACACAGAGATGGACTACGCCCGAGCTGGAAACAAAGCAACTTTCACCGTGAGCCTGGACCCAGGACCCCTGGAGCAGTTCCCCCACTCTATGGAACCACAGTTGAGGCAGCTGGGCCTGCCCACTGCCCTCAAGAGAGGTTTGGCCAGTCCCTGGAGCCAGAAGGTCACAGACCAGAGCCCAAGAGCACAGGATTCCAAGATCTTGAGACCCTTTCCTGTTGCTCCCACATCTCTCTCACACACACACACACACAAGATCTTGAGACCCTTTCCTGCTGCTCCCACATCACTCATACACACACACACACACACACACACACACACACACACACACACCCATCTGGCCAGCCCATGGGTCAGGGAGAGCATTTCTCTTGTTAAAATGGGGCTGAGTGCTCACCTGGTAGTTGGGGTGAAAGTGGACAGTAACTGACAGTGTAGCCCTCAAGGGGCATCAGGGAGGCAGCCATTGCCTGGCGTGTGTCGGAGCTGTGGGGCAGGTGGGTGGCCGACTGGAGTCTTCCCAAACTGGCAGGGTTCTGCAGGTCTCGGGGCCAGAGGTAACTTGGAGCCACCCTCCTCTGCAGGTGTGGTGACCCTGCTATCCGACTACGAGGTGTGCAAGGAGGGCGATGTGCTAACCCCAGAGCAGGCCCGCGTCCTGGTAAGTCCAGCCCCTTGAGGGCAGGGAGGGTGCAGGGCCACCGCCTTTCCCTCACCTGCCGAGAACATTCCCTTGCACTTCTGACTGTGCCATTCCTCTCAACTCTTTTCCCTGTGTCTCTCACAGAAGCTCTTTGGGTATGAGATGGCTGAATTCAAGGTGACCATCAAATACATGTGGGATGCGCAGTCAGGAAGGTTCCAGCAGATGGGAGACGACTTGCCAGAGAGCGCCTCCGAGTCAGCAGAGGAATCAGAGTCTGATGATGACGACTGAAGCAGTCAGGACTAAGGGCCTCCCTGCCCTTCTTGGTCCCACTGGGCCACACAGGACCGCCGCCCTCCAGAGGGAGCAGCTCTTCGTCTGGCTGCAGATGAAGACAAGGGAGGGTGATGGGCACTGACTGTTCTGTAGAAGTCACACTTTGCAGGTGTCTCCCTGGAGACAACAAAGGGGACTTTTCTGAGAAAAAGGCCTTTGGATCTGTGATTCTCTGGATTCCCAGAATTTTCCTTGTTTACCTTGTCAGCCATCTTCCCCACCAGCCCCTGTGGGACCACCGTGACAGCACAGTTCTGGGGACCGCTGAGAGCAACCTCCAGAGCTGGCATTTCTCTTCTCCAGCCCTGGGTGCCCCTTGCTTGGAAGAGGGATTTGCTGAAAAACGTTAGGCAGCCTGATTGCCCTTCCTACCCCTCTACACACCCCTCACTCCTTCCCAAACCAGGGCCAAGGATCTGATGAATGCCAGCAATGCCAAAGCCTTTGACTAAGGCAAGGCAAGTCACTGTTGGAAGTGACAGCTGGTATCTCACATACTCCGCAACTTCCTGGGAGGTCAGGCTGGATCCCAGGTGAGAGGGACCCTCATGAGGGCAGTGTGCTCGACGCCCACTGCCTCTGCCCTTTGATCTTCAGTCCACGCTCCTTCCCCCTCTCCCCCAGCCCTCGAGAAGGATGGCAGGAAGCAGACCACAGGCGGCAGTGGGAACAAGTTCACCAGGTTTGCCCAACTGGGCTGCAGCAGTTAAGTGCCAGCCTCATTCAGCAGGAGACTCGGGTGGAGCTCAGGCCTGACCTCCTCGCGTTGTGAAGGCAGCTAGGGGGAGCTGTAGGAACGTAGAAAGCAATCTGCAGGCTGGGATATGGAGGGCAGAGAGGCAAGTCAACAAGAGGCCAAAACTGGTGAGTATGAAAAGTGATGGTGCCCTCTGTACCTCAAGTCAGGTCTTGAGGAAAGTGGGATGTTCATGGGGCAACCAGGTGCTGAGCTTGGTCAAGGGCATTCATGACAGTGGACCCCAGGGTCCCTTGCTCAGTTGCTGCGAAGTTCTGCTCCAGGTTGGAGACATACCTAGGACGCACCCTGTAGGGGAAGGCGGCACACACCTGCTGCCCTTGACTCCACTCTCAGGATTTGGGCTCTGGTCATGTAGGCCTTGTGTTACTGGCTGCAAACAGCTGCACCCTTTGGCTCTGAAGTCCTATGTCCACACCATCTTGGAAGACAAACTTGACTGCAGAACCGCTTCTGCCACTCAGCTGGTAGGTCACCTATGTTAGTGACTTGGCCATTCAGCTTCACACTCAAGAGGCACCAGAGAGGAGCCACGAGTGTAGAACGCCCAAGCTGGAGAGGGAAGCACCCACTACACAGCTGGGCTCCCTCTCCAGAGTGGGCAGCCAGGGAGTTACTGCTCAGGGTTAAGGGCAGGTTTCAGGGTCCAGCCCATGCTCATTCCCTGCCACATGTAGCTGTGGGACCCTAGTTAAACAAAACAGCCTCTCTGATGTCCTCATGTAATGTGGGAATGACCACACTTAGCAGGGCTGCTATAAGAGCCAGTGTTTGCAACCTGGTGCTTAAGTAACTTCTCTAAGAACAACACGTTTGCCACCTAAAAGAGGAAAAAAGGAATCTCAGAAATGATCAGATGACTGTGTAGCACGCCACCTTCTTCCACTCCCCCCACCCTCAAGATTTAAAAGCAAAAGCTGAGCATTAGAAATCGCTGGTTGCCTGCAGCTGTGAGTGGCAGCACATCCACCAGACAGCCAGGGTTATGCTGGGGCTGCGGCCTGTAGAGCCTTCTCCAAGGCGATGGCCTTGACATGGTGCCCCCTTCCAGAAGCTGGAAAGGCCCAGATGGTGGCAGGGGTCAGGACCTTGGGGTCACCCCAGGGCAGCCACCCTTACCGCAGTCCCTAAAGCACTGAGGAGCCAGTGTCTTATATATCTGAGTTGATCAGAGTGGATGCAGATTTCTGGGCTACTCGTGGGGTGTTGTTTTTAGTCTGGGGTGGGCAAAGGAGATGCAGTGGGCAGGAGTCCTTGCATTTAACATCCTCACTAGGTGTTTGCAACACAACCTCCAAGTCACGACCCTCACGCACTTGTAGCACCACACCTGGGTGTCAGAAGGACCTGTGACAAGTCCTGGCTCTGTGATCTTGGCCGAGCCACCTTCCTTCACTTATCTGCTCAGTGGGCAAAGGAAATGCTGTCTGCAAGCCCCAACAGTGAGTGCAAAGTGTGCAGGCAGTGAGGGCCCTGGCTGGGCTTGCATGCTATAAAGAGCAGACAAAGCTGGGCATGGTGGCTCACGCCTATAATCCCAGCACTTTGGGGGCTTGAGGTTGAGGATTGCCTGAGCCAAGGGGTTTGAGACTAGCCTGGGCAACTTGGCAAGATCTCGTCTCTACAATAAATTTTTTAAATTATTAAAAATTTAAACACGCCTGTGGTTCCAGCTACTTGGAAGGTTGAAGTGGAAGGATCACCTGAGCCCAGCAGTTTGAGGCTGTGGTGGCCATGAGCGTGTCACTGCACTCCAACCTGGGTGACAGACTCCTACTCAAAAAAAAAAAAAAAAGGCAGACAGGTTGACACCCAGCAGACGTTGGATCTCTAGAAGTGAGGCCTGGACCCAGCCATGTGAAAAGCTTGAGAAATGATCACTTAGGACACTGGTTCCTGAACCTGACCAGGATTATCAGAATCCTGTGGGGGCAGGGGGTGGGGTGGTGGGGAGAACAGTGCCAGGTAAGGACTTAAGTCACTACAATGTACACAACGTTGGATACTGCTGCTTAAGCCCTTGGCCATGTCAACAAAACTAGCATTGGCACCTCTCGCGTGAAGCTTGGCTGGCTTTTGCCCTCCTCCCAGGGCGAAGAAGCAAAAAGCAAGCAAATGTCATATTGCACACAGAAATTCACCTGGGAGACTTGGCTTCTGCAAGACTAGAAAGATGAGGAGCTCTCATCTGGCCATAATTGACGTCTAAATTTGAAAAACTAAGAAATAGCAATAAAGTATACACCTTAGAGGTAATGCAGTAACTGCTAGAAGAAAGAAAGCTGTGAGAGTTTTTAAAATTTGGCCGAGCTTGGAGGCTGAGCCTGTAATCCTAGCATTTGGGGAGGCCGAGGTGAGTGGATTGCCTGAGCCCATGGGTTTGAGACCAGCCCGGGCAACTTGGCAAGACCTCGT